AATGGTACCGCTTTCAGCACAAAAAATCGGAAAGAATCATACCACCAAGGTGGTTAAAGGCTAATGCACATGGATAGAAAAAAATGCTTCTAGGGGCGCCTGGCATTTTTTTTTATGCCCATGAACGCAGCTGCAAGTTTTTTTTTAAAAGCAGTAAGTTCCTTATTGAAACATATGAACATGTTACAATACCAGTTAGAATCAAAAGCGGTATGGTCAAGTATAATATTAATACAAAGCAATGTGGCATAAGGCTGGTCCACATAAAGTTAAAAAAGCCAAGTATAGAAGGCATAGAGCAGCATCAATGAGAAGATATAATAAAAAAACAAGTACGTACCCAGATGAAGAATTAAAAATAAAGGGGGGGGGGTAGTACCTCAGGTGGAAAAGGAAGGAACACTTACTGGGCTGTCCAAGGCTGTCTTATTGTATTTCTTAGGACAAATTACTATTCAAATATGTCAGCTTGTACATAGGCAGCACTATGTTAATAGAGGATTCCCAAGAGGACAAAGAGGGCAGGAAGTGGAAATTCCAATTGTATAGAATTTCTTTTTTCACATAATATAACAGATACAAGATCAACAACTTAGTATGGTGAGGCCTCTTTGCATAATTGTAAATGCACAACAATGCCAGCTCACGGAATGAAGGAAGGGACAATTGTAGACGGACATTAATTAGGTAAAAAATCTCCATCCAATACTGCATCAACCTGGGGTCTCAAAACATATAAAATATATGTACCATGGTCCCTCAGACAGCATGACCAGGTCGGAGACTGCTGGGAATAGATTCTATGAAATACACCTTATGCAAAAACCTATTCTGAATCAATTTATCTCTAGATGAAATAACAAGTTTAAAACAATCCTTAAGATAGTCCTCCCAGTCCAATGTTGAAATTTCAGCTCTCCACTATCCCCACAATTTATCAATCTTGGGAGAATTCAAACAGAAAATAGACAGATATAGGAAGGAAAGTCTTGAGAAAGAAGATTCTCAATCAGGTCTGCTACAATCACAGGAGGATGTGGTACCTGAGACCAAGAAGCATGTGCCAACTGGAGGTAGCGGAAGTGAATCTTCATGATTAATCTGTACATAGAGGATAGGTTCTGAAATTACAATAAACGTACCGGCAAGCAAAGTAGGTAGCAGCATTTTCATTTCAAATCTTGCCCACACTTGTGGGCCAGGCAGAGAGATCTGATATGAGGAAAGGAGGGTTACCCCATAGAAGGTGGTAGTGTGACCAATGATTATACCCATACTTGGAGAGTTGTTTTAGTGGGACTTGGGAGGTAGCACAGGCTCTTCTATGGGACTTGGAGGTAGCATAGGCTTTAGATCCCCTGAACACTAGATTGCCAAGTAAGAGAACCCAAAATGGCCGCCTCTAAACAAAACAGCCACATTTGTCCTGGACCATGTGAACCACCACTTAACCATGCCTAGGACAGCTTACCAATAATAAATCTGATAACTGGGTAACTCCAAATTTTTTAAGTTATGGGGCAGCATAGTGGCTAAGTGGTTAGCACTTCCGCCTGGCAGTACTAGGGTCGTTGGTTCGAATCCCAGCCATGGCACCTCCTGCCTGGAGTTTGCATGTTCTCCCTGTGCCTGCGTGGGTTTCCTCCGGGTATTCCGGTTTCCTCCCACACTCCAAAGACATGCTGGTAGGTAAATTGGATCCTGTCTAAATTGTCCGTAGTATGTATGAATGTAAGCTAGGGACCTTAGATTGTAAACCCCTTGAGGGTTAGGGACTGATGTGAATGTATAATATGTATGGAAAGCGCTGTGTAAATTGACTGCGCTATATAAGTACCATAAATAAATAATAATAAATAATAATTTAATGTGGCCATGCACATGCAGGCCTTTATTGCGTGCAGTGTTCAGGGGCATACAATAAATAAAAAATGCTCCAAAGCTGCATTTGGAGGGGCACATATAAGCATACTTTACACATCTACATGCATAAACGCGTCTTAACATGAAAAAACTTGGGTTTATTTACTAAAGCTGGTTCACTCAGAATCTCATGCACCAATGCATGGTAGCCAATCAGCTTCTAAACTCAGCTTGTTCTGTTACAGAGGATATAACAAGTCTACACACTCCTGTTAAAATGTCAGGTTACTGTGATGTAAAAAAATGAGACAAAGATAAATAATTTCAGAAGTTTTTTCACCTTTAATGTGATCTATAAACAATACAACTCTGTTGAAAAACAAACTTAAATCTTTTAGGGGGGGAAGTAAACATAAAAAACTAAAATAATGTGGTTGCATAATTGTGCACACCCTCTTATAAGTGGGGATGTAGCTGTGTTCAGAATTAAGTAATTACATTCAAAATCATCTTAAATAGGAGACAGTACACAAGTGCCATCTTTCAAAGGGCCTCTGATTAACCCCAAATAAAGTTCAGCTGTTCTAGTAGGTCTTTCCTGACATTTTCTTAGTCGCATCCTACAGCAAAAGCCATGGTCCGCAGAGAGCTTCCAAAGAATCAGAGGGATCTCATTGTTAAAAGCTCAGTCAGGAGAAGGGTACAAAAGAATTTTCCAAGGCATTAGATATACCATGGAACAGTCATCATCATGTGGAGAAAATATGTCGCAACAGAAACTGGACGTCCCTCCAAAATTGATGAAAAGAATAGCAGAAAATTGGTCTGGGAGGCTGCCAAGAGGCCTACAGCAACATTAAAGGAACTGCAGGAATATCTGGCAAGTACTGGCTGTGTGGTATATGTGACAGTAATCTTCCGTATTCTTCATATGTCTGGGCTATTGGGTAGAGTGGCAAGACGGAAGCCTTTCATTACAAAGAAAAACATCCAAGCCTGGCTAAACTTTGCAAAAAAACACATCTGAAGTCTCCCAAAAGCATGTGGGAAAATGTGTTATGGTCTGATGAAACCAAGGTTGAACTTTTTGGCCATAATTCCAAAAGGTATGTTTGGTGCAAAAACAACACTGCACATCACCAAAAGAATACCATACCCACAGTGAAGCATGGTGGTGGCAGCATCATGCTTTGGGGCTGTTTTTTTTTTCAGCTGGAACTGGGGCCTTAGTCAAAGTAGAGGGAAATTATGAACAGTTCCAAATACCAGTAAATATTGGCACAGAACCTTCAGACTTCTGCTAGAAAGCTTAACATGAAGAGGAATTTCATCTTTCAGCATGACAACGACCCAAAGCATGCATCCAAATCAACAAAGGAATGGCTTCCAGAAGATTAAAGTTTTGGAATGGCCCAGCCAGAACCCAGAATTGAATTTGATCAAAAATCTGTGGGGTGATCTGAAGAGGGCTGTGCACAGGAGATGCCCTCGCAATCTGATAGATTTGGAGTGTTTTTGCAGGGAAGAGTGGGCAAATATTGCCAAGTAAAGATGTGCCATGCTGATAGACTCATACCCAAAAAGACTGAGTGCTGGAATAAAATCAAAAGGGTGCTTCAACAAAGTATTAGTTTCAGGGTGTGCACACTTATGCAACCGTATTATTTTAGTTTTGTATTTTTACTTCCCTCCACCTAAAAGATTTCTGTTTGTTGTTCAACTGAGTTGTACAGTTTATAGGTCACAATAAAGGTGGAAAAAGTCCTGAAATTTATTTATCTTTGTCTCATTTTTTTACATCACAGAAACCTGATATTTTAACAGGGGTGTGTAGACATTTTATATCCACTGTAAGCTTTCACAATAAAACCTGTAAGCTGATTGGTTTCTGTGTAGAAGTACACACGATTCTGATTTAACCAGCTTTAGTAAATAAACCCCACTGCTGCACATTTATTGGACTCCACTATTTGAATTAATGGACAATACCATGCCATATTAGTTCACTTCAGAAAAGGTCATTAAGCAGTCACAGTGGTTATATGTGATCGTTGTTCACTTTGGACTTTATTTTTTTGGACTTTTGTTTATGTATTTTATATTATATTTCAGTAATGCAACTTAAAAGGTGAAACTAATATATGAGATAGACTCATTACATGCAAAGCAAGATAGTTCAAGCCGTGATTTGTCATAATTGTGATGATTATGGCTTACAGCTCATGAAAACCAAATCCACAATCTCAGAAAATGAGAATATTGTAAAAAGGTGCAATATTCTAGGCTCAAAGTGTCCCACTCTAATCAGCTATTAAGCATAACACCTGCAAAGGGTTCCTGAGCCTTTAAATCAGCGGTTCTTCTCAACCTGGGGGTCGCGACCCCTTTGGGGGTCGAACGACCATTTCCCAGGGGTCGCCTAAGACCATCGGAAAACACATATTTCCGATGGTCTTAGGAACCGAGACACCGCTGCTGTCTCCGGCGAGTGTGTGTGGGCGGGATGATATGTGCTGCCCCTGTCACCGCCTCCTCGCCGCTGATTGGCCACCGGAACTGTAGCTCAGGAGAGGCACACAGGCGGCAATCACACGGCCTGAGAAGGTGGAGCTTGGAGAGGAGGAGCCGAGCGGCAGCGCGCGGAGATCGAAGAAGATCGAGGGAGCTGCAGGAACGAGTGAAGAGAGAGGCCAGAGAAGGAAGACAGCTGACAGGTAAGTGCAAATTTTGCTGCTGCAGCCAGGTATGCAGGCTGTAGATTAAGGGAGAGGGAGAGAGCGAGCCCAGGCTGGAGCAGGATCGTCAGCAAGGTAAGTATCATTGGTGTCAGTGGAAGGGATAGTGCCCCTCACATTTGTGTCACTAATACCAACGATGGGGCACTATTCCTCCCCCCACTGACACCAACGATGGGGCACTATTCCTCCCCTCACTGACATCAAACGATGGGGCACTATTCCTCCACCCTCACTGACAACCAACGATGGGGCACTATTCCTCCCCCAACTGACACAAACAACGATGAGACAGTATTCCTCCCCTCAACTGATCACCCAACGATGGGGCACTATTCCTCCCCCCACAGACACCAAACGATGGGGCACTATTCCTCCCTCACTGACACCAACGATGGGGCACTATTCCTCCCCCCACTGACACCAACGATGAGACAGTATTCCTCCCCTCACTGACACCAACGATGGGGCACTATTCCTCCCCCCACAGACACCAACGATGGTGGCACTATTTCCTCCCCCCACTGACACCAACGATGGGGCACTATTCCTCCCCACTGACACCCAACGATGGGGCACTATTCCTCCCCCCACTGAACACCAACGATGGGGCACTATTCCTCCCCCCACTGACACCAACGATGGGGCCACTATTCCTATCCCCCACTGACACCAACGATGGGGCACTATTCCTCCCCACAACTGACGGGGCACTTTCTCAGCAATGGGGCACTATTCCTCCCCCCACTGACGCCAACGATGGGCCACTTTCCTCCCCCCGCCAACGATGGGGCATCTATTCCTCCCCCCACTGACACCGCCAACGATGGGGCCCTATTCCTCCCCCCACTGACGCCAATTCGATGGGGGCACTATTCCTCCCCCACTGACGCCAACGATGGGGCACTATTCCTCCCCCCACTGACGCCAACGATGGGGCACTATTCCTCCCCCCACTGACGCCAAACGATGGGGCACTATTCCTCCCCCCACTGACGCCAACGATGGGGGCACTATTCCTCCCCCCACTGACGCCAACGATGGGGCACTATTCCTCCCCCCACTGACAGCCAACGATGGGGGCACTATTCCTCCCACTGACACCAATGATGGGGCACTATTCCTCCCACTGATACCAATGATGGGGCACTATTCCTCCCACTGATACAATGATGGGGGCACTATTCCTCCCACTGACACCAATGTGGGGCACCTATTCCTCCACTCATACCAATGATGGGGCACTATTCCTCCCACTCATACCAATGATGGGGCACTATTCCTCCCACTCATACCAATGATGGGGCACTATTCCTTCCACTGACACCCAATGATGGGGCACTATTCCTCCCACTCATACCAATGATGGGGCACTTATTCCTTCCTACTGACACCAATGATGGGGGCACTATTCCTCCCACTGATACTAATGATGGGGCACTATTCCTCCCACTGACACCAAATGATGGGGGCACTATTCCTCCCACTGACACCAATGATGGGGCACTATTCACACTCCACCACAACTGACGCACACTGACGCGCGCCAAAGATGGGGCACTATTCCTCCCACACTGACGCCAATGATGGGACACGCTATTTTCCTCCCACTCCGACGCCAATGATGGGACACTATTCCTCCCACTGACGCCAATGATGGGGCACTATTCCTCCCACTGACGCCAATGATGAGGTGCACTATTCCTCCCACTGACGCCAATGATGGGGCAGCACTATTCCTCCCACTGACGCCAATGATGGGGCACTATTCCTCCCACTGACACCAATGATGGGGCACTATTCCTCCCACTGACACCAATGATGGGGCACTATTCCTCCCACTGACACCAATGATGGGGGGGGGGGGGGGGGGGGGGGGGGGGGGGGGGGGGGGGGGCTATCCCTTACCACTGACACCAATGGGGCACTATTCCTCCCACACTGACCCCAATTAGGTGGACACTATTCCTCCCACTGACACCAATGATGGGGCACTATTCCTCCCACACTGATACCAACGTGGGACACTATTCATCCCACTGACATCAGTGATGGGGCGCTAGTCCTCCCACTGCAAAATTACAGTTATGAAGTAGAAAATAATTTTATGGTTGGGGGTCACCACAACCATGAGGAACTGTATTAAAGGGGTCGCGGCATTAGAAAGGTTGAGAACCACTGCTTTAAATGGTCTCTCAGTCTGGTTCAGTATGGAATCACAATCATGGGAAAGACTGCTGACCTGACAGTTGTGCAGAAAACCATCATTGACACCCTCCATAAGGAGGGAAAGCCTCAAAAGGTAATTACACAAAAGAAGTTGGATGTTCCCAAAGTGCTGTATCAAAGCACATTAATAGAAAGTTATGTGGACGGGAAAAGTGTGGAAGAAAAAGGTGCACAAGCAGCAGGGATGACCGCAGCCGTGAGAGGATTGTCAGGAAAAGGCCATTCAAAAGTGTTGGGGACTTTCACAAGGAGTGGACTGAGGCTGGAGTCAGTGCATCAAGAGCCACCACACACAGACGGATCCTGGACATGGGCTTCAAATGTCGTATTCCTCTTGTCAAGCGTCTTACCTGGGCTAAAGAAAAACAGACCTGTTTTGTTGCTCAGTGGTCCAAAGTCCTCTTTTCTGATGAGAGCAACTTTCGCATCTCATTTGGAAACCAAGGACCCAGAGTATGGAGGAAGAATGGAGAGGCACACACTGAAAGATGCTTGAAGTCCAGTGTGAAGTTTCCACAGTCTGTGTTCATTTGGGTAGCCATGTCATCAAGTCCAGGGTCAACGCAGCTGTCTACCAGGAGATTTTGGAGCACTTCATGCTTCCTTCCCCAGACGAGCTTTATGGGGATGCTGACTTCATTTTCCAGCAGGACTTGGTACCTGCCCACACTGCCAAAAGCACCAAAACTGGTTCAATGACCGTGGGATTACTGTGCTTGATTGGCCAGCAAACTCGCCTGACCTGAACCCCATAGAGAATCTATGGGGCATTGCCAAGAGAAAGATGAGAGACATGAGACCGAACAATGCAGAAGAGCTGAAGGCCGCTATTGAAGCATCCTGGTCTTCCATAACACCTCAGCAGTGCCACAGGCTGATAGCTTCCATGCCACGCTGCATTGTAGCAGTAATTGCTGCAAAACAGGGCCCAAACCAAGTACTGAGTACATATGCATGCTTATACTTTTCAGAGGTCCGATATTGTTCTATGTACAATCCTTGTTTTATTGATTGCATGTAATATTCTAATTTTCTGAGATTGTGGATTTGGGGTTTTCATGAGCTGTAAGCCATAATCATCACAATTATGACAAATCACGGCTTGAACTATCTTGCTTTGCATGTAATGAGTCTATCTCATATATTAGTTTCACCTTTTAATTTGCATTACTGAAATAAATGAACTTTTGTACGATATTCTAATTTTTCGAGTTTCACCTGTATGTATATATATATATATATATATATATATATATTTATATTATTTATTTATTTCATTGGTACAGCACAACTATTTTTGGTTATTACGTATTTCACATTTGTATTTGATGTTTTGGAGTGCAGCTGTGTAATACTTTTTTATACACCGAGCACAGTATAATATTTATTGTTTGGAAAACTAATTTCCAGCATTCGGTAGATTAAACTTTACTACTGCTGCACTTGTGGTGGCATTGCTACTGTTTATGCTGATAGGGGTGCCAAATGTCATCTTATGCCTAGTTCTTATTGATCAATTTGTATGTTGAATTGTTTTATTGCCATTTTATGCTTGCCTAGATACCAGCCATACTGGATGACAACCTGTTAAGTTTGCTTTTTTACTACCTGGTTTGGTGCCTGTGTTCTTTGATATAGCACTACTACTACTCCTGGGTACTAAATATTACCTTCAGTGATTTCCTGCGATATTGTATGTTTGTACACTCAACCTGGTGTGTTAGAGGGGCTGAGGTTTTTTAAAAAACGGTTGAGGCAAAAACAGAGGACCCATCCTAATCAGCAGCTCCTACAGTGGTACCGCTGCAGTTATTTTCTGCTTTTAAAACAGTCACCCACATAAGATTTCATTGATGGTTTTAAATCATTACAATACTAGTTGTGGTGAATTTAACAAATCAAGTGAAATAAGCCCTAGAAAATGAGAGTATCCATGCAGCAGCTTGTTTGGAGTTGACAGAAAACTTGTCTAAAACCACAGAGAGAATAATGTGGAAAAACAAAAGAATACAAGTTCAGCGACAGGAGCATGAACAAAACACTGCTCTTTCATCACAAAGCGGGAATTAAACCTTCAGACAGCACAATATTGTAGAGTAATTATTCTTTATGAGTTGTTTTGCATATAAAAGGAGCTTGGTTCCTTTTGTCACATCCCTATGCAAGGAAAAAAACAACATAAATATTATACAGCCAAAACACTTTAACATGGGTACAATTAGGTATGGCTGGATAAAATGAAAAGAAATGGTCTGAATACATTTAAAAAAGGAACACTTAATTAAGGGTTGTGCTGAACCTAGCAAACACACTGTTTCCTAGAAACAAAAAAAAGTAAAAAAATATAAAGATAGCAACCTACATATTGTATTCTATGGCCAACTGAGAATGGGAGTAAACAGGAAATCTTAGGTTATGAGAGTGTTTTTTCCCATAAGGGAGAAAAATGACTGCTGATCTGAACAGTATCGGGCAGAGACAATCCAACACACTGCTCAGAGATGTGTGACAGTCCTGTGTCAGCTAAAGTCTTGTGTTAACAGTAGAAATCTGCTTACCCATTGTATAGCTTCTGTAGCACCCTCCTAGGTAGGTACTACGGTTAGATAGTTAGATATACAGAATTAGCTGTGTTTTTGATAAATGTTTGGTAAATTTAGTTGTCACTCTGTAGTCAGAGTGGCTGTAAATATTTGTTGGGAAAAAGCATAATTAGCTCACTGTACTTGTGAGCTGTGATCATCTAGCTAAGTCTGTTCTATGTGCACAGATGCTACTAGTTTGCCTAGCTTCTTCTGTATCCAGGAAACTTTAGAAGTTTCTAGATGATAGGTGTGTATTTATGCAGATGGTAGCATGAATATTGATACAGCCTCAGCCTATCCCAGAGAGACGTGCTCTGAAGACATGCTGGGTAACTGTATATATTCAGTGAGCACACAGAGCGCTGGGTTCTTTCCTGTGTAGGACTGATCCAGCCTTTGGGAGGGCACGTTGCCCTCCCAGGCAGCTACTGATATGCAGCCTCAGGTGAGGGCTTGCATGCTGAGATCCAGGTTCTGCTATGCTGACTGATGCTTTGTCTACTGAACATCTGGTCTGGTATCATGGAGGAAGGCATCCAGCTGTGCTTGGGCCTTGTGAATACAGACATCCTTAAAGGATCTTAAAGACTGAGTGCTATTTAACCCCCTATGGTGCTAGGAAGTCATTGCAGGTTTAGCAAAGTAAATACTGGCTGGTGTTCCAAACAGCTTTGTCCACCTGGCCTACTTTTAAAAGCAACAGTTCTGTGGGACTCTACAGAAGATATTACTACTGTTCCTTCCTACACCACTACTTTGTACTACTGCCTTAAAAGCTGAAGTCCACTGTTTAATTAACGCATGGACCTGAAGATTAAAGTCCTCAAGTGTACATAGGTCATATTTTTGGATCTCCTTCATCCTTTTACAAAAAAATTACAAAAACAACACCCTACTCTGGTTATTGGAGAAATGTGTGAATGAGCCTATGTGCCTGGCTGTGAGGCAAAGTAACTGGGGAGGACTTGGACAGTATTCCTGAGGCTCCTACAGGAGTAGCGCTACACTTCTCTGGAACAGTATTGCTTTATAGTCCAAAACCTTAGTTGCTCTCGCAGTCCAATAGCTCAGACTTTGCAAAGAACGTGCCCATTATATATCCTGGCCACTGCCCAAAGGCCAGGTCTAGTATCACCTCTGCAATAAACGCACCAGATGACCTAACCTGAGCAGTGGGCATGGCTTCCTCCACATTAAAGTTGTGGCCATACAATTTAACCCATTAAGGGAAAACCATATCCTTAATTCGTATATTAGACATTAACATATCTTCTCGAAATCTAGCAGCCAGCGGCCTCCATGGAATCTCTCAATGGGGACCCGGACGTGACATCTTAATGCAACTTCCGGGTCAGGAAAAGAAGGGGAGGGGAGCGGACGTGTGCGCTTTCCACCCTCCCCTCTAGCCAATGGCGGTAAACTGGTCCTGGGTGCGCAGATGGGCAAGCGGAGCCCGGGAGGCCTCACACGGCGGAAGGTTCACATGGGGGGGGGGGCAGCTGGCACTGTGTGGAAGCAATCGACAGTAGCACTGCTGCCCAAATGCTTCCACCTGAAAGGTGAGCCCTTCTGCTTGCAGCGCTAAAGGTTGGAAAAAAACTACCTGCCCGGCGCCCAGAACTACATGTCCCAGGCTTTGGGCGATACAAATTTAACATCCCTGCCCACCATTAGAAATGGGTGGATGCAGGGCAGTATATTCTAATGGTGGGTATACCACACACTTTTTCTGGCAGAGATGTATTCTTTTTTTTTTTCATTCAGCCCACAGGCTGCATAAAAAAAAAAAAGAACATAACATACAGTATACTGTATACCCAACAAGGACAAGCGACGTACTGGTACATCACTGGACTTTGAGTGGTTATTGCAGGCATCATCCTGGTATCATTTTTTTCAGCCAGCGATCAGCTTTCATGGAAAAGCAATCCTTGTGGCTAGTGGCCTAGTGGCTAATTAGCCATTACATCCACTGTGATAACAATAAAAGTTATAAAAAACAAATGAAAGGGATAGTGTAAAAATAATTTTAAAAATAAAATTAAAAATAGCACCCTCGTGCCCCCGTGTGTGCGTGCA